TTGCCCGAAACGTCAGCCTTCCTGCTCCTATGATGCTGCTTGGCCTGCTGTGTTCATCCAGCTCTACACCTTGTTATCTCAGATTTTCCAGCATCTGCAGTTCCTACTATCTCTGATACAATCTTCAGTGTAGTTCTTTGCAGTACCTATTGTGGTCTCTAAGGGGCGTAGCATAAAATGTGATTTGGGAGAGGTACAACCATATAAATGCATTCATTACAAAACACGGTGAACGATATATTGCATTGCAGCTAGCATATTGATCATAGGAAAAGTGTATGTATGTGCGTTTGCATATCATTTATTCATAATTGGAACCATATTTGTTTATCCTATCCTAATACCAACCGTAATTTTAATCTATGAAGATACTATTTTTACCACATATCTGTAGAATTGATTTAAGTACAACCGAAGTACATTGAGATGGACAACTGCTTAATAACCCACAGGTAATAGTTCACGTATAAATGCATAAATTGAATAAGTAACACTGATAAGTAATGTTCGCCATTTAAAATAGTCCTCAATGCGGTTTACATCTGCCAAAACATGCTTATGAATTCGAATGCGAAACGTGAACGTTCGTCCTGTAATGGGATCGATTGATAGTCAATATCGGATTAAATTATGGTTTATTATAGAAAATATGATCAATTAATGATAATCAGCGCGTGTACATTATGAATTTGTAAACTGCGACATTTGCGGTTGTTATATTTCTCCTTTGGTGTTTATGTAAATAGTTCCACTTTCCTTTGATCTCGTCTGAAAACGCTGAATACGCGGAATAAAGGATGCCGTAGGCCCACCTGGTTTACCATTTGCATTACCCACAGGCTCATCATTCAGATCCTACACCCCAAGTGATTCCTGGTTACCGTGATTATGCACTGTTATTCCAAACAAACTTCAATTTGTTTAACATGTGGTCTCACGTAACATATTGCGCTCGATAACATAATACGTTTCAACGAGCCCAGCTCAAGGCCTTGAAATACTAATTGTGACTCTGAGTGAATGGAGGATTGAAATTCCTTCTTAAATGGACTATGTGTCCTCAAACTTCCATCCGGAGCTCTAGTAATTGGTACAGTATTGGGTAACGACGAATGCGCAGATCTCGTTAGGAATGCCGGCTTGCCACAAATCCTTCGCGCGCTAGCGCACATAAAGATGAAATTCAGTTTAGCAGGTTTCCTTCTCCAGTCATCTCATTCCCTTCCAGAAATTAACAGAAGTCTGTTAATTAGCCATGCAAATCACATTGATCCTGATGGAGTTTGACAGGACCACTGAGGGTTTTGTTTTCTTCCTGTGCTGCTACTGCAATACAACCATTCCCACATTGTTGCAGCGCGTCGCCCTGGGTACGTCGGTCACATGACACCCAGTGAAACTTCACTATCTCTCAATGAATAAACTGGAAATGTGTGTGTGGTTTGTGCGGGGGCGCCTGGAAGGGATGTGGGAGATTTAAAGTCAGCGATAACCTTATTTGCATCTGAAATCCCCGTGGTTACAAAAAAAAGTTCAATTAAGTTTGCAAACTTTATTTTTGCCTCGTCAGATAACTTGCCCATATATTCCAAGTGATTTTTCAAAAATAAGTTTATTGTGTTTTTTTTCATTTCTGTGGGTTGAGAAAGAATGGCTATTAAGATTTCGAGTGAATGCACGCACAGAAAAATCCTGACACGTCCTACTTAACGATCCAGGCACTGTCATTATTTGTGCAAGCTGGTAATTCAACTGAGACCTCCCAGCATTTGTTACAACTTGAGGCCAAGATGCCGCTAAAGGATTTTCATTTAAACAAGAAGCAAGTGCCTCTAAAAGTTCAGTCTCCTCGCGAGAATCGGCCCCTGTGTGCTCTACAGAAATTCCAATGTATCGCTATATAAAAAAAACAATCCTAGGATTGTATCTTTACATATAAACTCTTGTTTTTAATCGAATGCGTGCGAAGAGAGGGAGACGGGAGTGGAGAGCTATGATTTCTTTCAGGCGAACTGCGGCTCCCCTGAAGTGGGATGGATGCATTCACAGCCTGGGTGGTCTCTCTACTTTGGTGAGCTGTTGCTAAGCAGCTAATAATAGTCGTGTTTGCTGAGTAATTTCTGCCTTCCCCAGCCAATCAGAGCCAAGCAATACAAGCCTTCTCCCAGCCATCTGACGGTTCTGGAGGCGGGTTTTGCTTTCCTTCCCCCCTAAATGGAGAGAGAGGCTTTTTTTCTATTGAATCAAGGCTCACAGAGTTACAGGGCCTGGTGCACAGAATGGTTCAAGCGAGTGATCGGTACGGGTAAACTTCCGAATCTCTGGAAGAAGGTGAACGCTTTCAAGCTTCCCTCTCCGGTCTGTTTTAAAACGCGCAGTTCCCCGTGAATGTAGAAGATCGCCAGGATCCCCCAGATCGCGAAATGTGGGAATGGAAGGCGCAAACTTTGACTCGCCATCGCTACGAGGAGTATGAAGTTTGCCAGACAGAATCTACTTTGCTGAGGATTGAAGTGGCCGTTTGGTGGAAGCTAAGACGGTGTGTAAAGATACTAGCTCAGTCCCATCCGCAACATGGCCTCGGCTGGTAACACTGCGGAGCGCCGAAGGACAGAGCAGGACCATGTTCAGCAAAACAGGAGGAGAAGGAGAAACCTGCGGCATCCGACAGCGGTTTTAGATTATCTGGAACGGCCGAGCTATTGCGATGCTGCCTTTGCGTTGGATCAGATCTCAAAGGTGCATTTCCAGTTTGTGAAACCTTCCTTTTTTCCCCCTATTTTGTGCATCGGGGGCCTTTTACGGTCCCCCTTATTATCCTTAAGCTGTAGAGTGGGACTTGAACGCAGCCGAAGCATGTTTTTTTACCTGTGTTATCACCGAATTTCCAAAAAAGTGAAAGTTTTAAGTGAAAGTAAACAAAGCTCTGTTCTCAGAACGGTGTTTCCAGAGTTGCTGTAGCACTAGTAGCACGGAACATCGACACACTTAGATGTGTGCGTGTGTGTGTGCTGGTGCGGGGGGGGCGGGGGGTGGGATTTCTTGTCTCTTAACACACCATTTTTTGCATATAAATACTTCAAACAGAAGAGGATCCTGATTACTTCTCAAAAAAAGCACGAGACAGAAAGATCCAGGCTGTGCGTTTAAGTTTTAAAGTACACTAGATGCGAAACATTCTTTAAGTGATGGTATCTGCTGGAGTAGGGTTCTAAACTGAAATCCATGTGGCTGCCCTCTTCCGTTCGCAAATATTGTCGAAAGTCTCAGATGGCTGCTTCACTTCCTAATTCAGATCACAGCGTCCTGATACTGCTATGGAAATGAATTACTCTGGCTTATGATGTTACAGCAGAGCAACCACGTGGATGGACTATTTGCTACCTTATTCCATTAAATGTTGACTCTACAAATGTGGGTGTTATATCTAATGTGCTAATTGGTAAAACGTAACACGTTTATCAATTTGGGGTTTAAATCCCCCCAACAAAAAAAGTATGTACGTTTTTTGTCTACTTTATTTCATTTTCTAAAAACCAAACCATGAGCAGTTAATCCTTCTGCAACGTCCGTATTTCATTCCTCACTATCTCCTGTCACCACGTTAGGTGGATTGGTATTTTCCTCAGGCAGATGGATGACAGTCGCTGTAGAGATTTGCGGTCACTTTTAGTAACGTCATACTTTGAGTCAGTGTGTGTTTTTGAAGATGAAAGATTTGCCGAATTGTAGGTAAACTTATAATACAAAAGTTTACTTTATAACAGAAACACTATCGGTAACTAGAAATGTTCGATGAGATGGAGTGCTGTCTCTTTAAAGATGCGATTGTTCGGTGTGTTCTCTCCTCAAGTGTCTCTTCTGGTCTTTATTTTAGGGAAAGGCTACTGGAAGGAAAGCACCGCTGTGGCTTCGAGCTAAGTTTCAAAAACTGTTATTTAAACTGGGCTGTTACATTCAAAAGAACTGCGGAAAGTTCCTCGTTGTGGGCCTGCTGATATTCGGGGCTTTTGCAGTGGGATTAAGGGCTGCTAATCTGGAAACCGACGTCGAGGAGCTGTGGGTAGAAGGTAAGGGCAACTTTCCCGCGAATTTTTGTCACAGAATCAAGCTTCAAAATAGACAATAAATATGCTATTAAAAAAAAGGGGGCTGAAGAAACATCATGCCAAAATGGGATTGTTTATTGTACAGCTATTTGGCCAAGGGCCAAGGAAAAATTACAAAGAACTCATTGTAATCCATAATGATAAATTTCTACATTTGCGTAAATCTTGCTGGGTCTGGAGTTAGGGGTGATGATAGTGATTTGTGGCATATTGTTTCGGGGAGGAGGGGGTATTAAAAAGTTTTTGTGAAGTCGAGCTTGTCAAAGCCGCCATTTTGTGAGTGCCCCCAGCAGCAGAATATGATCAGTGCAGCTCTCTGTGACTGAGGGTGTGTGTGTGGTCCTGTTTTGGACAGCTTTCAACTCTCAAAAAAACATTTGTCTCAGGCAAAATGTGAAGTCGTACAGACTGGAACGCATGTTTGCAAAGTAGATTAATGTAACCTAGCGGGTGGTGACGTATGTTTAATATAATTGCAGTTAGTATTGCATTAAAAAAAGTTTTCTGTAAATCGTGTTTTTATTCTGTGGGAGGAAACTAAGTTCAATTAAGAAAGATTTTGTGAGGTTTGATCTGCATTCTGGTAGTCAAAAACAATGGGGCAAAAATGGTGAATTGTTAATTGATGCGTGAGCAGTTCACGATCTGAAATGCATTTAGTGAGCTTTTAGTACTGCAAATGAACAGTTTTTATTGTTTGGGTGGGAGAAGTAAAAGCATTTTTTGTCTCAATGCCTTCAAATGTTTCTCTAGGTAATTTCTGACTAATTAAAAGTAGATTGTGAAGATTATGCTTATTTTGTTGTGTTGGGAAAATATTTTTTCTTCGAAATTATTAAACATTTGTATTAAATTAAGCTTATCCGTTTGTGAAAGTGTTTTACTTATTTGTATTGATAAAATCTAATGAAACTATGAAAGTTAGTAATTAACTTTGTGCTTCCTCGTGCAAATTGCAACATGCTATTTTTGTGACTATTCCTGTATGTTATTCTTATTTGTATTTGCAGTTTGTTTTATTGCTGCCTTTTTAAAATATGATTTTGTTTTCTCATTTGCTTCACATACTGCTTTGTCCTTCTGTCTTTCCTCCCCCTCCATAAATGGTTGACAGCAGCAGGGATCTTGTGTAGCTGTGTGTGTTCTCAGTGGAGTGTGTTACACTTTGGTCATGAACATGGGCTTTGCACAAATAAACTAAATGAACAGCAGTTGCATATTTCTGTGGTTAAATGTATAAACAGAAGGGATAGCAGACTGAGGAGCTGAACAGAGTAGTAGTGCAATGGGGTTAGGGTTAGTGTGGGGGGCGTCTTTATACTGATCTGTTCACTTGGTTTGCAAAGGTTTAACTGTCTACATGATTGGGGTTATCATAACTAATGATAGTTTGGCAATCGTTTTTGTTTATCCCATAAACTGTGCATTCAAAAGAATTTTGAAGCATTTAGTTGTTGTAAAGTTAATTTTATCTATTGCTGAAAAATATTGATTTGTTACCAGATGCTAGTGAAATACAGTAAATATACCTTGCTGACAAGAATGAGTTTCACTTCAAAAATGTATTCGAAATTGTAGACATGAAAATTTAGCCAACTTCATTGCCCATTTTCCTTAGGAACACCTGTAGATATCTTTAATTATATACTGTATTATTAATAATGGGTGCAGGATATGTGTGAATCTTTTATTACATTGTGAAATGTGTATATTAAGATCAAGTCTTCAGAGATTCCAATTTCCAAAGAACTGTGACTTTCACTAAATACAAATGCATTTTGTAAATTTCTGTTAGGAGAAAACCAGCTCTTATAAGTTGCAGATAACAAGGTGTAGAGCTGGATGAACACAGCAGGCCAAGCAGCATCAGAGGAGCAGGAAGGCTGACGTTTC